TTGCTTTGCTTCTGAAGCTGAAGGGAATTTAAGGATTTGTCCTGCCTTTCCCCAGAAATCAACTTTGTAAAGGAAGTTTTAGCCTGCGGCAGCTGTGGGATCCCAAGGCAGCTTTTTTTTCCAGCCATCTGATCATCCCCCAACCAGCTCTGCAGCAGCGCTCCTGCCCCGGGTACAACCACGGCTCACAGCGGCTCTGTGGAGATAGGACTGGCCAGTCTAAACTCTTTTTTTTTTTTTTTTCTTTTCCTTTTTCTCCATTTTAACTATGAGAAGAGAGGCTTGTCTCTGGCCCTGTAATTTCTGTCCTAAACATTTTCTCTCTTTTTATAAAAAAAGGCCACAGAGTAGAATGTGAACTCTTGAATATGAGCGAGATACTGTTTCCAGGAACAAAAGAAATAGCTAACTTACAAAACTAAGTTTATGCAATAAAGTTATTATATTCTGCTCCTTTTAAGCAGACTCTCATGGAATTTATGTACAGTACGTGACAGATTTTAAAACTATTTATACCACAGTTAGAGCAAGACCTTTAATACTCTAGTCTTAAGACAGGGTTTGTTTTCGTTAGATCTCTTTTAAAGCTTTAGACAGTTAAATACAGTACATAGACGTTAGCTTTTAAATACAATGCGAGATTATGTAACCTTCTGACTAGCTTCAACCATAGACTGGCACCTCTTTTAATCATTTCCGTAGTACAAAGTGTTCCTTTCCGGACTTGGTGCGTGGGGGGGGTGGGGGGTCATTTTAACTCATTTTGCACTGTGGTGCCAGATCCTAAAAACTAGAATCACCCACAGCTAGCAAGTTTGGTAAATGAAGGGGTTAACGGAGCTGTAAGGGAAGGATGAGGACTGTAGGACACTAAGAGACCAGGAACATGACATTCATATTCGTCCATGGCCAGCACAGATTCATAACACGAATTCCACTGACATCCCGAGGATGTGCAGTAGTTACCAGTGCACCTCTTGTCGCCTACTTACTGCGAGGGAGAACGAGCTGTTCTCCCCGGTGCCAAATCTTCAGACTTCAACGGTGTTAGCGCTACAGTACATCTCCAGCTTGGTGCCTGAAGGCCTGACTACTGTACGGTTATATTTAAGACTAAGATTGGGGGGGGGGTATCTTTTTGTGGGGAAGAAAGAAGAAGAAGAAATTCTGACAGCGGGAAAGCTGAGACACTGAACACAGATCCATGCAAAAAAGTTTTCTCGGAGAGGAATAGAAAATATGAATGACTAAATCTAAAACCAGTTCCTAGTTGTTATTAAAACTAGCTACAGTACACTTGGTTTGGGTGCATTACTCTTCTAGAAGAGAGACTTCAGCTTTGGTAGCGCTCAGCATCCCTTACACACCCGCGGGCGCTCCCCCGCCGCGTTACGCGCTTTCGGCGGAGCTGCGCTTTGCGTGGGCTGGGATGGACCCCTCACCTCGGAGGTTCCTGAAATAGAGTTTTCGGCGATACGTCTCCTGGCGAAGTCGGCGCGCGGGTGGCCTTGGGCGCAGTGATCCGTCTGCAGCAGGTGGAAGAGGCTTGCCATGTTGGGCCCGATCTTCTCCATCAAGCTGTCCTTGATGGTGTTGACAGTCTCTTCGTCACACTCCAATAAGCTTCTCACCAGCTTGTTGTAATACCTGCGCGAGAGTTACCAGCCGTTACTCCCAGCAAGACGAAAGAAACAAGGTAAGAGCTGATCTCAAGCCAGGAGACCAGCCCAAGCGACAAAACTCTGCGAATCAGGGGTTTGAAGTCGTTCAGGGCGTGTTTGAAATGGATCTGACCGTGCACAATTCTCCCTGCCCCTAACAAATGCTCTGGAGCTTGAGATGCTGTGGCCATGACACACGGAAGGAACACAACCCGTTAAACTTCTAATTAAGCTGTGCTAAATGAGGCGCTGCTCCAGCTCTGGAAGGTGAGGCTACGAGCACGAGTGATTCTGGTGGTAACTCCGGCGAAGAAGGCGAGAGCGAGGAGCTGAGACGATGCAGTAATTGTGTGTGCTTTACTCTCCACTACACAACCTGAGCTTCTAGAGCTTTAGGAAGGAAAATAATTGCATCTTTCTAACGCCAGACACTGCCCAGCACCAGACAGGATAGAGACTGAGCAGACCCCTGGGCTGAGCCAGAACAACCCTCCTATGGATTTATCCATCCCGTGGCACCATTCCCTTTGGTCCCTCTCCCATCCCCTCCGTGCACAGGGACCAGAAGAGGGAGAAGCAAGCTCAGCCCAAGTCAGAGCCTGGCAGATGCGTGTATTCCCTGGGGACAGATGGTCAGGACACACGATCAGCTGTCACTGCCACCAGACTGACCGTGCATTCAATCACAAGCCAGGACCTGTTGCCCTGCTGCGTGCCCGCCTCCTCTCCAGCCCGCTGCTGCCTTTTCGCCTTCCAGCAGCCCTGAGTACGCGTTCCTTGCTCAAGGAGGGAGCCAGGAAATTGTGCTGATCTGTTTCCCCAGCGCTGCTGGAGCCAAGCAGAGAACAGTGCTCAAAGGAACGATCCTCCGCCCGGCGAAGGCAGAACCAGCGCGGCCCCACTGCACGGCTGGCGTGGGCAAAGCCGGCGAGTGGGACCTCATTGTACGAGAGAACGTCTTCCTAAGGAGAGAAACTTGGGAAAAGAGGAACAGTCCCATATTTGCTGAGCTCCTTGTGCCTGAAAGGACGTCGGGGAAACTTATTTTAAGCCTTTAAGGTCACCATGACATTTTTCCACGGGAGCAGAGAAGAGAATAACCTGCAGGTGGAGGAGGGGAAGGAAGAGGGAAATGAGAGTTCTCATTCAAACTCCTTTCCTTGCTCTCAGCTCTGCCCTTTAGAGCAGCCAGGGAGGTCAGGTGAGGTTAAAGTTTCTGCCACACTTGAAGTACAAAAGGGCCAGGTTTGGCACGGCGGAGCACGGCGCCCGCACAACGCCGCAGCGCTCATACTAACGGCAGTTGGTGATGAATACATCTCTGCAAGCTGTGCCTCCAGCTTAACCCAGTCCCGGTCTAATGGGACAGGAGGAACGGATCCTCCCCACCTTCCTCCGCCGCGCTGCCGACACCTCCGCCAGCCAAACACAGCCCCGTGGTTTCCAGAGCCGGAGCCGCAATCACGGCTCCCCGGTGCCTTGCGGTAGCGAGACTGTAAGCAAAGGCAACAAAGCTTTCCTCTCCTCCCGCTCCTGCCATGAGATTAAATCACAGGAAGATGCTATGACCTTTAACTACTTCCTCTCGGTGTCCCAGGCCAAGTGGCACATTCTTATTCTGTGGCTATGTTGGGACAGGGGCTGGGAAAGCAGGATGCTTTAGGAGACCTCAATGTAAACTATTAGCTGGGAAATCCTGCTGCTTTTGTTACTCAACATGTCATAATATCCTTTGGCTTCCACCACGGCTGGCGGCTGTGGGGGAGGAGTTCCCTCCGCCTTGGGAGACAGCGGCTCCGGTTCAGGCTTGGTCCCCTGGAGAGGAATGTCCCCGACACGTAGAACACCGCCGCTGCTGTCACCGCGTCCTTCCTCGCTCAAGCGTCCACACGTCCCCCCGCCACCCCAACGTCCCCACGGCTCCACCAAGGGCTGTTTAACTCTACAACCCATAATATCAACCTGAGATGCTCTTTCCGCCTGTAAAACACTGACGCCACCATGCTGCCTGCTCCTTGTCCCAGCCCTTGGGGGAACGCTGAAGGAAACCTCTTCCAAATCGGCTCGGGGGAAGAGGGGAAAGACACTCAAGTGTCATTTTCCCCTTCCCACAAGTATAATTTTCCGCATATAATATCTACAGTAGAGTTTTCTATAATAGATTTACGCTGGCCAGAGATGTGACATCTGTATATCCCTTGCATACCTGTCCTAGGACACGTCTGGAGGCTTAAGATGCTTCTAGATCCAGGCAAAGAGCCACCCCGGAGGAGCTGGAGCGCTTGCCACGGCGTTCCATTGCAGCTCGCTCTGTTGGCGCTCCCATTCTAGAGCATATTGACTCAAACTCTTCAAAAAGATCCCTTTTATCCCAATCACAAGACTCAGCACTGATTGTTCCAGGATTTAGAGGAAGAAATCCCTGCCCTTGCAGCGTGACTGCGCAGCCTGCAGCAGCTCCCTGAAGCCTCTCTCCTGTCCCTTGTCCTTGGAGGATGGGGACAGGGCAGTCCTGCGCCAGGGAGCGCCGTGACGTGCCCATTTCTGCAGGCAGCCTTCGCTATCAAGAAGGAACAGGGGTGAAGACAACCCTAAAAGAAGAACCCTATTAAGAAGACCAGACTGTCCCTAGGAACATGAACTACTGATCATGGCATAATAAGGCTATAGAGGAGCATGGTCGCTGATTCCCGTTAAGCTTTCCTAGATCTTCACACGGCCATACGCATTCAAACTAAAAGAACTAACATGGAACAAACTCCAGGCTTTGAAGCAATGTATGTCTAGTTAATCCTGTGATTCTCCCCTGGAGATAAGTGTGTTTACCAAAAACAGAATCAGAAGAATGCTGGTAAAACTTAACAAGGATTTGCAAAAGCAGAGAGCATTACTGAGGCTAAGCTGCAGTAGGACTTGTAAGAAGTCAGGCAACTTGGTTCCTTTCATTTCCTTCTCTGTGCTTCACATTTTTGCATTTGATGCGTTACAGCTGAGGAAAGCTCCACGTACCGGTTTGAGAACTGATTTGGAAGCTGGACGACCTCCGTGATGGCTTCAGGATTTCGTTTCGCGATGCCGCACATGTCCAGTTTGCTGTAGCACTCCTCTTGCACTTCGGAGATCATTCTTTGGAACGTGGAGCACCTCCGGATGGCAAGGAACACCTTGGACGTAACCCCATTTGCGATGCATTTCAAGCTTTCTTTCACAAAAGCTTTTCCCTGCAAACAGATGAAAAAACAAATTTCATCAAGAGGGATGGATCGAGAGACACTCGGCTGCTATTCATTACCCCTGCTGCAATTGCAGACCTGATGGAGGTCCGTGACCGAGCACGGCAGGGAATTGCACCCTAAATACTCCCAATTATTTCGTAGTTATCCCTCACAGCAGTTTCAGTTGGGATGCACACAGCCCAGAGAGAACAGCGAGCTCCTGTTCCCAAAAGATTTAGGCAATGGAAGTCTTTGCGTGAACACACCTCCCAGCGCCAGCACCGGAGATGGGCCAATTCTGCCCCCCGGGAGGCAGCTGACCGCTCGCTGCCTACCTGTGCTCCAACACATCTGGTTACAGACGCTTTAAGAGCTTTTAAGTTCGTCCTTGGGAGCAAGAGCGCAGGGAACAAGGGGGTGTGCGCATTTTGGGAAGAAAATCCAAAGGAAAAGGGCCTTTGGCAGAGGCACTCGCCTCTGATGTTATCCTATTTATTCTGCAGCGAGCGGCTGCAGCTCCGCAGAGGCTCATCTGGCCGCGCGTTCCCAGCCCCAGCGACTTCCAATTCAAACCCCAGCCCCGTGCCAGGTCACACAGTCAGAAGCCTGACTTTGTTCGAAGAACGTTTATATTTCCTCCTGAAGAGGAAACTTAGCTCTCTGCCCCACAAAACTCTCCTTGCCAAGTCCTCACACATTGCGTACAGTATGTGGAAAATGTACTCAGAAAAGAGCCCTGAAGGACGCGTTTGTAGCCAAAAAACCAACACCACGGTTCAGGGGAGCGGCGAAGCAGCAGGAAGGGCTGCAAGAAAGGAAGGGTTAAGCCTGCACAGAGCCCATCTCCGCGAGGACAGAGAAATGAAGGCGTCCATCCATTCAACGGAGCGCTTGAGCACGTGCTTGAGTGCCGCAGGACTTGTAAAAGCACTTTATCGAACCACGGCACGAACAGGCAGCTCTGACGGCGAGCTATTCTTCTCGTCCCCTTTCTACTCGTTACCGTACCTGAGTGTCAAATTTAGCAGCGCTGTAGAGGAAGGACTTGCAGATGTCGTACATGCCATCCGTGTCGCACGTGGAGTTCTCCAGGCAGGCGAAGGCTCCGCAGCCCACCTGCAGGGCACTGTTCAGGCAGCGAACCACCTCGGCTGCAGAGAGAGGCACGGGCACAACGTTACGGACACGCACCGCTCCCCCACGCCGTAAAACCCTTCTCCAGCGCAAAGGCAAGTCGTGCTCAGCTGCAACTACCAAAACTTTCAACCGGTTACGTACAGATTAAAAGAGAGGCGATATCTGACAGCCTTTGGCTGGATGGAGCCCTACAGGTCCATCCCAACCTCATTCTGGTTGCATGTGTTTGCAGCTTTGTTGAGAGCTCCTCTAAAGATGGCAAAAGTCGTGAGGATGGGCTCATGAAGATCTCACGATCTTCTCCACGCTCTCAGACCAGCGCCTTGGCAGCCCCGGGCTCACAAATCTCGTTTGGAAATGAGACCGAAGTGATGGCGATCGCCAATAAGCTGGGGTGAGATTGGCACTGCTGGTTTCGCTAGCACTGGAGGTATTTGTGCTTTCCTAAAAAGCCTGAAGTGTCTAGAAATAAAGATTTTAATTTAATTGCGTGTCAATTCTCAGCGCTACAAAGGACTGGAACGAGCAGCTTGGTGCTAAATACTAACCTGGTCGCCAGCAGTTGGCCAGCAGAGCCGAGAAAGGTCGTATTGCTGAAGATTAGCAAAGAGAAGGGAGGTTTGGGAAGAGAAAGTTAAGGTAATGGAGCTGACCATGTATAATTAAAATCGTGGAGGCAGTAGTTAGTCTGAGCAGGAGGGTATCCATGTCATCTCATCTTTTTTAGAGCAGATACCATGCGTTTTAACAATGAATCAGCAGTATTGCCACATGATTGCCCTGAAATTAGGAGGGATTAACCTTTTTTGGTAAGCTGAACATCTGTCCCCTTCTGTGGGTCTGGGCAAGGCATATTCATTACTTTTGCAGCTCATGTTACCAGACATTCTTTAGGAAGAAATGCAAACCCAGTGGCTCCCATCCAGATCCTAGGTGTGGGAAAAGTGAGGATTTGCCTTTAGTGGAAGAGAAGACACCTTATTCAGAGCCAAGCTGTAGCCTAAAGACTTATCTACATAATCAGAATCGTTACAGAAAAGAGAAGGAAGAAAAAAAATTAGAAAAAAAAAAAAATCACCCAATTAACCTCTCCTCAGTCTCTGCTCTTGCTTACGTGCCTGAAGGGAGAAATATTTGGTAAGATCATCCTCTCCCCAGTTCATAACCTCACCATCGCACGAGTCATTCCCATAATTATGTTTCCACAGGTTCAAATTATAACTTTGCTTTCAGCAGACTTAGTATGCATTAAGCTTTTATTGTTTTAGGCACGGTGCAATAGTGAGACCCTATGTTTCTATAGCAACCAAATACAAAAGGAAATTGAGCAAACACCCTAGTATAATGCTGCAGAGCCTTGCAGATCTAAAATAAGACATCTGTTAATGAGCTCCAAATTAGAGACCTAATATCTTTTCAGTATACTAGAAGACAGATTTTTAATTTCCATTGTTCAAGACAATGTGTCCAACTTATCTAAGCATCTATAGTGCACAAAGTAGACACATCCAGAGCTGACTTGCCAGCAAATTTTTTTTTCTCCATTGTAAAAGCAAGTTTGCTAAATGTCACAATTGTATTTTTATGGTACCATCTAACTGATAGCAATCAGTTTTTGAAAATAAATGCTAGCAGTGGACAGTTTCTAGGTTACTGCATTCTTCAAAGTCGCATATCTCCCTCTCCCTCTTTGAATAGACAGATGTTTGGCAGAACAATGCTTCAGTCAAATTTCCCCAGATTTAATCAACTTCCTAAAAAGCAAGGAATTTAACACCAAAGTATGATTGCAATTGGAGAAGAGACAAAGATACATGCAAGCAGGGGAAAAAAAAAAAGTACATGGAACTCATTTAGTAGATGGGGGAGGAGGAGAGAGAACGGATTGCATCCTGCAAGCAGATCACACACCGGTTCCCTGACCCAGCTCCTGAAAGGAGAAGATTTCTTCTCCAGCTACGTACCCATATCCTCCTGAATCAGACCTTTAAATTAATATTTGTTCCTACCAGCCATTAAGTTTATAAACCAAAAAAAAAAAAAAAAAAATTAAAAAAAAAAAAAAAAAAAAAAAAAAAAAAAAAAAAAAAAAAAAAAAAAAAGAAAAGAAGAAAAAAAAGAAAAGAAAAATCAGCAGTAGAGATATTTGAAACAGTTTAACACATCGGGGTCCAGGCTCAAAGCCCTCCTTGCTTGGTGTTACCTGAGTTCTGGACTGCAACCCTGGGTTTCCTGGGGCTCACAGAGTCATTCTGTTCAGCTTCATAGGATGCAGACGCACTGATCACCAGCAGCAGGAGAAAACCAGACTTTAGGAGCATTCTCTGACAAGTTTCCGCTAAGTGTGGTTTTTTTTGGGT